CACCTTGCTTAATGCGTAAGAGGGTTGCAAAGTCTGAAGCGATACTGGCCTTCCTTGATACCTTTCAGGAGCTGCATCTCGAGTGGTAAGCCTAAGTAATTATTGTATTTGATGTTTGTTTTTTATTCCTAATTTAATGAAGTCGAGCGTAGTTTATGCGGCTATTTTGTTTACGCACGTTTGTAAGATTTGAGACAATGATCTGACCGCGTATCAGGTTTGTTATAAGCTTACAGATCTTTAAAAAGCCTTTAGACATTTTCTCACCGCAAATAGAAAGAAAACGTTTCAAGGAATATTTAGTTATAATTCTGACTGTAAAAGAAAGGTTTGAGCGATTTCCTTGCCTCGAGTTCGTCTTTGAAAAAAGCAAACACCGGGAAGCCGGCTTAAAACACAAAATTCAGCTTTAAGCTCGAAGACTCAGGATTTTTAGAGACACTTTAATACTTGTCTTCCTGAATGAAAATTGTCGTCTCTGTATATGTTTCTCCGAATTATATTTCTTTTATTAATTGTTAGTACTGTCTCTTGTAATTTTAATCGCTGTGTCGATTGTTTTCAGTCGTTCAGTGAACAACGCTTCCCGGAGTACTCAAAATGCCGCGCGTTAAACCGTTTTAAAATAAAAAATAAACATAATAAATTCTTTATTATGTTGGAGCGTAACTCTGTTAATGTTCATTCAAACACTCGCCACTGCTAGCACTGCAAAAGTCAGAACCGGCTGGCCGTATAGATGATTTTGAAAATTTTTTTTAACGGTTTAGCTAAAGCCCACGCGTGCTGCGATCGTCCTGAATATTGAATGATAGCAATTTGTATCGCAATATTGTGAAATACTGCATTCTGTTGTGCGAGGTCTGTATGATAAAAACAGTGCCTCATAGTACTGTTTCACCTCAGATGTGATGTATAAATGATATAAAAGGTTGGTTTACAGTCGCACCCAGATTTGTTGGCAAGATTTTGTAAAGTAAACTTGTCGAACGCAAAAAATTCGGCCAGAATTTTTTTTCCAGGCCTAATTAATCTAAGGCGATCATGAGCCATTATGGCTCTTAATAAATGTGATCGAAGATGATTGCCAGTTTTTGGGTGTACTTATGAGGCTATCAACTCGATGTGAGATTTGGTTCACTCTTGGGCTGCTTGCAAATTATTTTTTGTAAAATCACTTAGCCTTTCCATGAAAAGTCCCACGAATGTGCTCTAAAGTTAACTGAATTGTGGAATACAAGTTTATTGTTTGATTTAAATTATAAATTTATCAATGGGAGCCTCGCTTTTAGCCCTGGCTAAATCTATATATTATTACTATTACTATTATTACTGATTATTATTATTAGTGATAGTATTGTTATCATTATCATTATCATTATCGTTGTCGTTATCATTATTGTTATTAACGCCCTAATTATCGCGCTGCCGAAATAACGGAGGGCTCACGATACGAAGCACAAAACGTGATAGATCCGATAAAATATAGAAAAATTTTCGCTTCAGAAATAGATCAAGCGGCTACACAGACATCTTACGAATGCATTAATTTGCATAAATGTACTCACCAACAAAATTCTCTGAACACCAGAAGAAAGAGAATCTATTGGAGGCTTTGAGACATTGTCTTTATCTGCCGTCTTAAAAAATGACCTGCATTCTCTGCAAATACCTTAATGAAAAGTACAGTTCAAAAACGTTAATTGAATTACGAAAGTTTCTTTTTAGAACAGTATAAGATCTGTACACGAGTTTTGCTTCTTTGATCTGGGGGACGTACTTGCGCAAATTGCACTAGACTTCAAGTTGTATTTTTACGGCCTTCACCGAAATATTTACATGATTAAGGCAAAAATGGAAAAAAGTGTAGATTTAAAATATACAGACTGTCTTTTTGCAGTACCTCATCCCCTTCCCCTATTGTCGACCCACCCCTCCCCCGAGTCACAAATCGTGGATGTGGGTAAGGACACGTAGTCTTGCATGAGGTACAAGGTGAAGCTACCATCAGTTGTTGAACTGACTGTAAAACAACAACAACAACAACAACAAAATGGATGCCCTTAGAACTGTATGAAATTTAAAATCAGAAAAAATTCTTTACTTTGGGGAAAATCGGACTTTATTTCACACTAAGGTAAAAACTCAAACTCACTTTATCCGGGAGATTACGTGGATTGGTGCCGTATCCGGAAAACTCCGGGTTATTCAAGAAAGTTGACAACTATCATAAACTTTATACAGTTTGTTCGCAGATAATCTGAGAAGCTTATAAGCATATAATACAATAATTAAACCAACAGTACCTGAACCTACAGGAATGAGGATACCAGTTTGCTGATGGATATATTCCGAAATGTTCTTGCCAACTCCCCTGCCGGCTTTAACAGGTTTCCCTCTTCTTTCAATGTGATTAGCGATTTCCTTTGGAACTTGGCACGAATTGGAATAACTGTTCCGTCGCCATCCAATATCGAGCTCAAAACGATGGAAAGGGCATACATTAAAGGAACTTAGATCACGGAAAAAATACCAACACGAGCTAGAATAAGATCTGTTTCGCTTTCAATACCAGAAAAAGACCATGATGACCTATGCCCAGTTACGTCCTTGTTGCACAACGACAAAGGAACAATCTCAGTTGACCTGTGCTTATCCCTTCTATCAAACGAACACTGAGTACCTACTAATGACTCGAAAGAGCAAGAACCTTCCATAGCTTCATCGATAAAGAGCGCAGACAAACAGTGTTTTACAAAGTTCTTTTTCTCTTTTTTCTGTTTCACGTGGGAATGAACATGTACTTTAACCAATTTAAATTAAATTAAATTACGTTAAGTAAAAGCCTAAAATATTAAAAAGGTAATTCTCGGGTAAACTAATGTCACATTAAGTATTTTCGAAGGAGTAATATAATGTTCAATCTTCTTCAGTGTACTGGCAGTAATAGGTGAAGCTCGTCACGTGTGTATTACCGGAAGTAGACTTTTTGCACCCTGTTATGCAAATAAGATTAATTGAGGTGAACGGATCCGCGAACAAGGAACTTTGCTTTGTTAAACTACTGAACTTTATTTCATAGCCGGCTCAGTTTTTAAGGTCCAGGGTTCTCAAAATTTCTAACAACCAGATTTTTTGATGTTAACTTGAAAACATTAGAGAAAACAGGGGGATGAAGAAAGTGCTGGAAAACTGTCACGCACCTCCACAAACGCACAAATTCCAGCGGACTTCACGATTACGGTAACAAAGGTGATAAGACGGCAAAATGAGACAACTTGGAGCTTGAAGTAAAACAGACACGGGTTAAGGTTAACTTTTTAAAAAATTATTCTACATATCAAGGTTACCAGCGCTAGCGTTGTAAACGAAAACTTAAGGTCAAATGTTGCTGGTGACTCATCTGTTGGATGGCGTAATTTTATCTTGTCTGAAACACGATTTTCAAATGATTTCTGAGAAGCTCGAAGTAGTTTCCCCAAAATAATTTTTACATAAGATAAAAGTTTGATGCTCTTAGTGTTTTCTCCTTCAATCTTGAAAAATTCTGATCAAAGGCACATGATGAAAATCGTCGCTTTTTTCAACTGCCTCTCGTGGGTAACCAACAGGTAGCCGTACGCTTTAGCTTTTTATAATTACTCAGACTGTTGCAATGCTAAAAATATTACATATTTTGGTCAAGGACGAGTTATACTTAAAATTTTAGCGATAGGCCTGTATTCTAGCGCGGTTGTTTTGAAACGCGAGTGAAGCGAATCGTAGTGAATTTCAACCCTGTTTTTGGCTTGCAAAATCGACGGCGGGGCTTGAAACGGTTTTCCACGTTTTTCTCGGAAAGGAGCAGATCTTTCAAAGAAAAAATTACACGGCGTTTGTACACTAACCAAAGTCTACCAGTACGCAAAAGAAGAGCGACTTTGATTTCTTGAGCCTTGCCGCACTTTGGTCGATATTTGCATGGTGTTGCTCTTAACAATCCATTTGAATAACTCATATATATGTATATTAGATTATATCATTTCATTAAAATTCTTAGCAACACGTTTTTTGGGCTTGTCAACAAAAATAAAATCATATGGTTCTTGTCTGACTCTCTGATAGTGAGATTTGCTGATCCCAAGCTCTCTACATATCATATTTTTCTCATTGCTGGAAGGAAATTCAAAGATACAATGATGTGTGCAAATTAATCGGATTGTTTTATCAGTACCATGATAGCTTTGAGATAAATAGATACAGCTGCAGTTTTTATTTCTGGAATTAGTAAAGAAGTTGCGGATCTCAGCATCATTCTTTGTTCCTGTATTAGGATAATCATCGAAAACGACTAGCTTTTGATTGTCACATGGCATCTTATCCAGCGGAACTATTTTATCATTGCTTGCTTCAATAATGGGATAACCAGCTTCTTCACTAATAGGTTCGAATAAGTCTATTAAATGCTGATACTTGCTCTGTTACAAATTTTTAGCATACAGATATATCTTGTCAAAATACAGCAATCTATAGATCATATCCAGAAGGTTAGTTTCACCCGAACCTGACGGGCCGCATACAAGCATCGTAAAACATCTATCTGCCCTAAATAGGACTTTCTGTTTATAGTCAGATTGTTTATCTTCAACATCATAATTGAGTATTTTCATTCTATACACCATACGGAACAGTTCTGTAGCAATAAAACGATGATTACTCATGAAACCTGAACTTCTGTATATATATATATATATATATTTAGTATATACACACTCAGTGATCTTGGTAATTCAAGCAATCTGATTGGTTAGCTATCTCGGACTATGACGTTATATTCACCGCGCTAGGCGGTGAATATAAAGCCGAACAAAATCGCTGTCGTGAACTGGGTGTTTTGCCAAAGTTTCAAAGTAAAACCTTTTTGAAAATACACGAATATCCAAGTGCTGATGACTTTGAAGGCAAGAAAAGACTTCATGGTGTTTAAACAGCGTGATTTATTGTGAAGTGGTTTACTTTAG